CGCCTCACGGCCCACTCTTACCGCCATCACTACCTCACGGCCCACTCCCACCGCCATCACCGCCTCATGGCCCACTCTCACCACCATCACCGCCTCACAGCCCACTCTCACCGCCATCACCGCCTCACGGCCCACTCTTACCACCGTCACCGCCTCACGGCCCACTCTCACCACCGTCACTATCTCACGGCCCACTCTCATTGGTACATCCAGTGATATGGTCACCACATTGTTACCTCTCCATTGGTCGCATTGTCAAACCAATATGGTGCAAAGTACATTTGCTGGACCAGCTGGCCAGTTCAGCTTATTGACTTTACAAAATATGTGTAAATCTGTGTCCAACTTGCCTATTCTTCAGCAACAAAAGGTGATTTAAAACAAAATCACAAGCATTTTAAATTATCCCGTGGGAAACCACCCACACCCGGAGGAGATGTGGAGATATCGGGCATGTTCTGTGAAAATCCCGTGCAGTGACATAAACTGATTTGAGCTGGATACTGGATCTGGACTCTGCACTTGGCTACACATTTGACATAAACCCAGCCTGAAAGCTACTCACTATGCTCAAGTGACATGACATAGACGTACTTGATAGACCAACACTTTAAGAAATTAAAATAAAAGAAAGAACTGCAGATGCTGGAGCTCTGGGGCAAAAACAGGAATTGCTGGAGAAACTCAACAGGTCTGTCACCAGACTTGAAACGTTGCCTCTGCTTTCTTTCCATATATTATCTTTTCCCCAGGGTAGGGGGGTCCAAAACTAGAGGGTATAGGTTTAAGGTGAGAGGGGAAAGATATAAAAGGGACCTTAGGGGTAACATATTCACGCAGAGGGTGGTGCGTGTATGGAATGAGCTGCCAGAGGAAGTGGTGGAGGCTGGTACAATTACAACATTTAAAAGGCATCTGGATGGGTATATGAATAGGAAGGGTTTAGAGGGATATGGGCCAAATGCTGGCAAACGGGACTAGATTTATTTGGGATATCTGGTCGGCATGGACGAGTTGGACCGAAGGGTCTGATTCTGTGCTGTACATCTCTATGACTCTATATGCTGCTGAGTTTCTCCAGCCATTTCTGTTTTCGCTTCAAGGAATTTGTTTGGCTGTCTACACGTTGATTGGTCATTGCATGGTTTGAAGTCACACAACACCAGGTTATAGTCCAACAGGAACAAAAACAAAGTTGCTGGAGAAGCTCAGCTGGTCTGGCAGATCTGTGAAAGAAAATACAAAGTTAATGTTTCGGGTCCGGTGACCCTTCCTCAGTCCAACAGGTAGTCCAACAGATTTATTTGAAATCACAAGCTTTTGGAGCGCTGCCCCTTTGTCAGGTGAACGTGTCATGTGATTTCTAATCTCGTCCATCCCAGTCCAACACTGGCACCTCCACATCACGGCATGGTTTGAAAGAGAGGATGTCAGCATTCCCTGCTTGCTCAAAGCAGATAGCATCGGCAGTTCTTACTATCTCTGAGTGAGTTTTAACCCCACTGCGAAGCCTCTTCCAAGGATGCCCACCTTGAAGGAGTTACCCTCCTCCCTCTGGAAAGACCTCAGTGGATCTCTTTCCCACTGCAACCCTCTGGTAATCTCTTCAGCCCTGAAACTCTCCAATCCCCCCCACTCCCTACCTGCATCTACCTATCACTATCCCACCTACCTTCTCCAGCCCCACCTGTCCTCTCTCTATTTATTTCTCCCTTC